AAAATTTTTGACTTGAAGCTTAAGAGCATACAATTTTGAGACAACAATAAGGAAAAAGTACCAGGGGCCAAGAGACTACTTGTGTTCAATGCCAACAATGGCATCCATTACATTACTATTACAAAATGACACAGATGTGAAACCAGCACCACATCCTGGACTTAAAAGAATCTGGATTTGAATAAGTTAAACTTAAGTTGAAAATATGCCCCTACCACAATGGTCTTATATCTTCAGACTGTCACTGTTGTCTGTCATCTAATATTTTATAGCGTAATTACTGTATACGGAAGACAAAAGAGAAGCCTGAGGATGAAACATACAAGTGAATTTCTGTATCAGTATGAAAAGTCAATTTCTTAGTGGCTACAGTGGAAACTAGAGTTGAAATTCCACAAGCATTGCATGCTAGTCTGTTATACACCATTTCTAAACAAGTGATCCATATCAAGCATTCCAACTGGTTAACAAATTCCATAAAGAAAAGTTGTCTCCATGAAGATGATACAACTAAGTGTATATGATATCCATGGGCTTTATTTAACTTTAATTTTTATACCAATAAACTCCTTTCCTACTTATCTAAATCAAATGGCTTTTATTCCATACAATAAACTGAAAATATGACTATGTCTTGGATTCACAACTCACCCTTAAGCAATCAGCCTTATGCTTGAAATCTTATTTTTACTACATTTAGGTAGTAGCAGAGGGAAAATATTACCATATATACAATATGGGATAAGAAAATTCACAAGCATAAGGAAAGCATAAACTCATTGTTCAGGAATGTGACAGGCTGGGCCATCTAGCAGTGCCCAGGGAAATGAAATAGGACACAGAAATAAAGTCAGACAATGAAAAAGCTATCCATGTCACCTGTTCCCATCCCCACAAAACTGCAGGATTTCGTGATAGGATGAGTGTCTGAACTACTGTCTTTTTCTATCCTCTTTTTAAAAAGACTTCTCAGAATAAGTATTCCATTAACTCTTTATTCAGCTCATTCTAATGCCTGAGCCAACTGGATATACTAACTTTTTAAATAATCCACATAAGCCTGGTACGAGTCAGTTTTACTCTTTAACGAGCCAAAGGAGGCTCAAATTGAAAACTGGAAAGAAAAAACACAAGGGAAAAAGTTTTTGTTTTTAAATATTTTAATGGAAACATAGCTGGTCAGATTTCAAAACCTAGGCTAAAAGTGTTTAAATATTGTGTCACTGTATATTTGAGAAACTACATAAAAAGAAAAAACAGCCACAAATGAAAGGAGTGCCAATCTTTTAAAAATAAATGTAAAACCACAATAAAGAAAACTTTATTCTAAAAGAATTTTAACATTTCAATTTATTGACAAAACTGTATGGTAAAGAAAAACCATTTCAAATTTTGTTTTTCGCCTCCATAGCAATTCTGAAGTTGGTGCATTCTTCCACAGAGCTCGGAAACTTTAAACTCTCAATTAGCCTTCCATTTCTCTACTTAAAACTAAGTTGTTGACCTGCGTTGATAAATATCCATAAATTCGGCCTCAACCGAGAAACAAAGGTAACATTTAACTTCTTCTAGGGGAGAGCTCCTGTGTCTATGTGTGTTTGGAGAGAAGCAACCCCCTTTTAATCAAACAACACTGACGATTTTCTAAGTAAATACTTCTCCCTATCCATGAGGCCTTTTTTTTTTCTCCCCCTTTTCCCCTTCTTTTTATACTGGTTTTTCTCCTACTCTGCACTTAACGCCTGGGCTCCCAAATCCTCCCTCGGCCATTCACCTTGTCCAATCCCATACGGTTCCCCAATTTCCGCGCAGGGAGGCACCCGAGGGCCGAGCGCGAACCCCTGTGGATGGAGCTAACTAGGCGCGGATAGGACGGACCGCTGTCACTGGGGAACAGGCGTGGGCCAAAGCCGCAAAGATTTCTGACTGCTCATCGCCCGGGCCGGCATGGGTGAAGGTCTCCGAGCCCCTCCATCCGTCCACGCAAGCCTGGCGTGCAGCTGTCGCGGAGCAGGAAGCTAATTGGGCCCTGGGCCGCTTTGACAGGCAGAGTGGGAAAGGAAAAGGGCTGACTGCGGCTAGCAGCCTCACCTCTTCAGCTAGGAAACCCCGAGAGCTAACTAAACCTCTTATCCGGCCTGAAGGCAAACGGGAGACTGCAGAGCCGCCGCCACCGACTCAGCCCAGCAGGGGCCCGCCCAGGGGCCACTCCCCAAGAGAGACAGCCAGTCACTCTCCCGCCCTTCCGGGCCCGCTCCCGAAGGGACAGTCTCCCGCCCGCCCTCACACAGAGCTCCTCAGGCCAGGCCCCCAGGGCTTCGTCCACCTCTCACCTTTGACGACGCGGTCAGCCCCGGGAGGGGGCGGCGGGAGCGGGGGTGGGGGCGGTGCAGCCCGTGCCGGCTCCGGGGCAGCCATGCTGAGCCCGGGACTCGGCTAGGCGCTGGGCCGGGCGGGGTAGGGGGCGGGGGCGGCGGCTACCAGAGCCAAGCGGCGGCGCCGCCGGGGAACATGGCGGACCCCCTTTCCCTACACAGGGGCTGAGACCAGCATGCACCGCGCGTGCGGGGGCGGGGGCGGGACAGGCTCTAGGGACTTGCGCAAAATTACTGAGGTTAGGAGAGAAACAGGACGAGGCCAAGGGATCAGATTAAAATTCTGTGCATGCTCAATAAAGGATTCCGGAGAGGGTGGGTAGTGTGTGTGGTTGCTATTGTAAATGAGCTCAAGGAAACAGGACGCCGGCTCTCAAGGAGCTCTCAATAAAATATAGGGAAAAATCAAACTTCAGAATCTTCTACTGACAGAGAAACAAATGTATTCAGCTACCAGATCTGGGTACCTGAATGCGAAGAGGAGGCATTGTAGATTCTGGGAGCAGGGAAGTGACCATTCAAAATAGCTTGAGAGATGATTCTGGGCCTTGTGTTTAGAGTTTGGAAACGTCGAGAGCCTGAAGGCATAGAGTAAGAATGCAGCTTGAGCAATTTAGGTCCCAAGGGTTAAGAATAATCACAACAGGTAAGGGGGAAGGGAAGGGATGACACCAAGAGTTGTTCAAATAGTATGCAGAATTCACTTCAAAAGGACACAACCTCCCTCTTGATTCATTCAGAAAACAGAAATTTGGAAGGAAAATGAAATTGGTAATTCGTTCCTCTTCTCTAGGGGCATCTTCCAGAACAAACGGAAGCCTTTCTCCCCCTGTCCTCCTGTGCCCAGATTGGGTGACAGAACTGCTTTGCCTCTAGTCATCATCTAGGGGTTTGTTTATCTACTCTTTGACCACCAGGGGCTTAGGACCTGAACAAAATCTGAATTTGTTAAATATTTTTTTGCGCAGGTATAGAATCTGAGCCCAGATGATTTACAGAACTTTTATAAGGGCCAAAACGAGCTCTGGTGATACAGTGGTTAAAGCATTCAGCTGCTAACCAAAAGGTCTGAGGTTCAAAACCACCAGCCACTCCACAGGAAAAAGATGAGGCAGTCTACTTCCATAAAGATTTACAGCCTTGGAAACAGTATGGGGCAGTTCTATTTAGTTCTATAGGGTTGTTATGAGTCAGAATAAACTAGATAGTAGTAGGTTTGGTTTGGGTTATAGGGACCAGGGTAACTGACATTCATAGGGAAAAGGCAGAGACAAAAACAGGCTGTTTGAACAATACTTACTAGAAAGACTGTATGACACCAGAAGATGTGTTGGATCCACAGCTTCAAACCAGCTCATTCTGGTTCAACCCTCTGATACTTTGCCTATCTACCTCAGATATACTGAATCAGAATTTATATTTTAACAGATCCCCAGGTACATAAATATCACCTGGGGGATCATGTTAAAATGTAGATTCTGATTCAGTATATCTGGGGTGGAAATGCAAATTCTCAGCAAGAGGTTGAACCAGTTTGAAGTCCTGTTTGAATCGTGAACAGAGACCAACATATCCACTTAGATCTACATATCTTCATGGGATAGGATCCAAGTGGGATAGAGAAATTCCTGCCCATCCTCCTGCTCAATAATACATTGGTTCAGAATCTGTTAATGATGGGTGTGAGGCTAGGTAAGCAGTGGTCCAAAGATCTCAAAGAGCATCTTTCTACATCTTCTTTGTGTCAGAGCTCTTTCTCTGTTTTGGAGCCCCAGGCCATTGGAAATTGGTATTTCTTGCTTGTGTAGGCCTCCCCACCCCAATACAACAGAGCAAGGCATACAAAAGGGAAGAACGACAAGGGATTAAATAGATCTTATAGATTTATTAATGAAAAATACTTTACAAAACAGTATGTTTGGCCCTAAAATAGTTCAGCTGACTCTGAGGGTTTAGAACGACGACTGAGCAAGTGGCAGTAATGGCTCTGCTGCTGAGGACAGGAGGGCATGTTAGTGTGCCTGACTCCATGTGTTCAGATGGGTGAATGTTATGTTGGCAGCTCTACATTCTAGGCCTAAGCTTTGGGGGCACAGGGAAGGATGATAGGCAATAATACCTGGGATGGTGGGCTACCTTGAATGATAACATCAGGACCATAACCACAGGACTACATGTTCCTCCAGGGATGGGCCTAAGGAAGACAGGTCAGGTAACGGGTATATATAGATAAAACAAACAGTGAAAGTCAGGACTATAGTAGTAAACAGAGCATGTGGGTGCAAGTGGAGGTAGGGGTATAGAGTATCCAGGAATAAAATGGTGACCTTAAGATAAGGAATGCTAGTGTCCAGAGTTATATTATGGATTCACCTTTAAAGTGGCTCAAATAGAGCCCTAAACGGTAGCTGCTTTCTTTTGCTAGCTGAGTGGAAACTGGAATTTCAAATATTTCCTCCCAAAGAGCCAGGTCTCCTTAGATGTCCCTGGCATCCCTGGGGAAAACTGTCAACTCTATGCTGAGATGAGACTGCACAACCATGACAGGGATGCAGGGTACCAACTCTGCCCACAGAACAGATTTATAAGAAATAGTGTGGTTCCAGGAAAGAAAAGATGTAACCCTTACCACCTGCTGTGCTGCAGGGCTCTGGTCCTGATCTGCTCCCTTCCAGGGGCATCTGCTAGAACAAACAGAAGCCCTTCTCCCCCTGTCCTCCTGTGCCCAGATTGGTGGGCGTAACTGCTTTGCCTCCAGTCATCATCTGGGGGCATATCTACTCTTCTAGGACCAGGGGCTCGGGACCCTGGAATAGGACCTGAATTCCAGGCTGACCTCAGGGGTACACAAAGACTGCTGGATGGTGAGGACACATGGTGAACAATGGGAGAGTGGGAAGGTGAATGGAAAAGATCACCCCAGGACTGAGCATGAGGAACTGGGAATCCTTGGCATCTTTCTGGTACTGTGGCAGTGTGAGTTAGTGGAGGCTGACACCCTGGAGTGGTCAGAAATCTGGCCCCAATATGCTGGTTAGTCTCTGACCAGGGTCCCCAGGAGGAATCTGTCCTGGAACGATGGGGGAGACTCCGATAGTTCAAAGTCCTTCCTGTGTATTTGATCCCTTGGGAAGTTTCACCCCTGTCACACACAGCCAGAAACTGTTGGGCATTCTTTGAAGTTCCTAGAGAGAGAAAAGAAACAAAAAGACTAAGCATCTTCAGAAAATCCATCTCTTTTGAGAGGACCATTCCTAGCTATTGTTCCCAACTCCCTAGACCTCCAAGATCATACTCACAAGGGAAAGAAGGAAGCTAGCTTTCCTTTTGATTTCATTTTTTAAAATTCTTACTATCCATCAAAATCAACAAATGAAATAATGTCCTGTATAGGAGCTCTGGTAGCATAGTGACTAAAGCACTTGACTGCTAACCAGAAGGCTGGCGGTTCAAACCCACCAGCCACTCCTCGGAAGGAAGATTGGGCGATCCTACTTCCGTAGTGATACTGCCTCGGAAACCCAAGGAGGGGTCGCTATGAGTCAGGCCCGACTCGACGGCACATAACAACAACAACAACATAGTTATCCTACTCCTACTTCAATCCACAATAATCATTCCTCCACCATATACACAAACAAATGGCTTCCTAATACAGCAAATGTATACCACAATTCTGATAATTCTGCTCCTAGAGGACCATTCCAAAACATCACTGAGCCTTTTTTAACATGGTACCTTCACTCCAGTTAAGCAATTTCTGCTTCTCTTACTCATTCTCAGAGATCTCTGTTCACACCACTCCTCCCAAATATACAATGTGAAATGCATTTTCTGTACATTTATTTTCCTTTCTTTAAAGCAAACAAAATAATATTTTAATCACTTCTTAAAAAAATGCTTCCACTCTTTATTTTATGACCCAGTAACATCTGCACTATGCTTTTATGTATATGGGTGTATATTCTGATTATTTAAACTCTGACCTCTTAGAAAACAGAGAGTTCTTTCTCTCCTATGTTCACTGTAGCATTCATTACACAACTGGTTATAATCAATGCTACCTGACTGATCACTGATGCCCTTCCAAAAACCAAACCCACTGCCACTGAGTCAATTCTAATTCATAGCGACCCTGTAGGAAAGAGCAGAACTGCCCCATAGGGTTTCCAAGGTTGTAAATTTTTACAGAAGCAGGCTGCCTCATCTTTCTCCCACAGAACAGCTGGTGGGTTCAAACTGCCAACCTTTTGAATAGCAGCCAAATGCTTTAACCACTGTGCCATCATAGCTCCTTAGGGATGCCCTTAGCTGTTTAAGGAAGCTAACTGCCTAGCTGTTCCATTGATTAATAGGTAGTGCATTTATCCAGAAGTCCTGTTTACCCAAACTTCCCTGAAATTTGGACACAAACATCCACAGTACTATTCTATCTTCTGTTCTACCCCCTGGACATTTATATCCTTAAGCCAAGGTTTCTCAACCTCAGCACTATTGATGTTCTGGTCTGACAATTCTTTGTTGGGAAAAGAGGGGGGCTGCCCTGTGCCCTGTAGGATGCTTGGCAGCATGCTGGCCTCTACTCACTAGATCTCAGTAGCACATTCCCATACTGAGAATCACTGCCTTAAGCTATAGATTACTTTCCATGTACAATTATATTTGCCCATGAGAAGGGAAAGAACATTTTGCTATACAGGATAAAAGAAAGCCAGGATGATACTGCCCACCTTCCCCCAGGATTGTCTGGGTCTGTACACATGGCTTGGGCACTCTGTACAAAATCTTTCCAAGTTTCCTATTCACTTCTTATCTTTCTAGACTAGCCCTCAACTAAGATATAGGGAACGGAAGAAGACTGGGTTATTAACTCTCCTCATTTCTTGAAAAGCTTATCTTATTATGCCTGAAACAGTTCCTTTTCATGAGTTAGTCAGATTCTGCGGGGTAGGGAAGTGGCTTAGCCTCTTGGTCTAAGAACCATGTTGTTCAAGAAATGATTCAATCACAATTCATCTTGATCAATTATTTGATCTTAAAGCAGTAATTCATATCCTATCATTCATATCCCAGAGAGACACCATGTTCTGGCATATAACATTAGATTTGGGAGGAATTACCTGGGGGTCTATGGGGCTCCCCTGACATGCTGGGCATCAGGACATCTGGGGACAGGAACTGTGGTTGGGGAGGGTAGAGTTGGGGACCAAGGAGAAACACAGGAGGGTCATGGATGACAGAGAGGGAAGAGGAGCTGGAACAACGGTGCCCGGTTTCCAAAGGCTTTTTCCTCACGTTTGATGAATCCTTATAATGAGATAAAACAAAAACACAGAGATGAGGATTAACACACAGTAGGATGTGGTTGGGTAAACACAGTGAGGCAAGCAGGCGGAAATGAGGGAACAAGAGCACAAACATGCCATTGTTCTGGAGAGCAATCTTATTTACTCAGCCACTCTCCCTTGTCAGCCCATTTAGGAAACATAATTACCATGAACTGAAGAGTCCAAATTGCAGATACTCTTCCCTTAACCAGAGTCTTCCTCATAGGCCTCACATTCCTAATCCTACCATCCAGATCTTTAGCAAACTCCTTAACGCTAGCAGAAAAATCAGATCAAGATGAGGGGTGGGGCAAACATAGAAGGAGAAAAATATTTGGGAAACCTGAGAAATTGAGAAAGAGAATTCTAGACTCTAAGCATTGTGAACTAAAATATATCTACTTAAACACAGAGCCAAAGTCTCTACTCCAGCTTCTCTCCTGTCACTGCTACATTCCACAGCCTCCTCTTTTGCCGGTCAAATTTGTACTCACGGTGCTTATATCTCCTTATGCCTACTTTAGTAGTTATTTTACTTTTGTGGTAAAGCCCCAGAAATACCCCTTTTTACATCTGAAACACTAATATGTCCAAAATTGAACTACTATCCTTCCAAATTTCTCCTCCTGGTACCAAATTTTCCTGTTGTTGTTGTTGTTATGTGCCGTCGAGTTGGCCCCGACTCATAGCAGCCCCTCCTTGGGTTTCCGAGGCGATATCACTACGGAAGTAGATTGCCCAACCTTCCTTCTGAGGAGTGGCTGGTGGGTTTGAACCGCCAGCCTTCTGGTTAGCAGTCAAGTGCCTTAGGCACTATGCTACCAGAGCGCCAAATTTTCCAAAGTCACCCATATTCAAATGTTGGCATTGCCTTTGATTTCCTGTTTCCCATCTATAATCCATTAGCTGTCTTAGCCAAGTACTGTTATTTCTACCTATGAGTTCTGCAAGTAAACTCACCAGCACCACTGCAATAGCCTCCACCTTATCTTCCTAACTCCAATGTGTTACCTCTTCACCTGCAAGGTCCTATGTGATCTGGCCCTGCTGACTTTCTCATTTTATTTCCTACCATTGTTGTACCTTTAGCGCTCCATTCTAAACTTCTTAATGTTCTTAATGTTTCTCAAACACAAACACACCAAGCTCATTTCTACATCAAGGCCTTTACACTTACTGTTCTTATTACCTGGAATGTTCTTCTCATGGTTTGTAGCTTCATATCCTTAAGGTCTCTGACCAAATGTTACTTTCTTAGAGATTATTTCCCTTGCCACCTATCTATAATAGCCCTGAGTATAACCACTACTATCTCTCTTTACCCCCTTGCTTTGTTTTATTCTTCTATATCACATGTATTGTCTGGAATTATATCATTTACTTGTTTATGGTCTTTCCCCTCTTAGCAGCCCAATGTCTTAACCACAGTGCCACCAGAGCTCCTTATTTCTCCCCTAGTAGAATATATTTCTTATTCACTTCAGTATATAATAGGCACGTCATCGTATACTCATAGCATCTACCACAGCTTAGCATACAGTAGGCACATACACAGTAGGCTGTACCTTACAGCCTACGGACCAGGAGCCAGTCCTCTCAGCAGAGCTAACTACTTCTTTATTCTTGAAACAATCTTCCCTTGGTATACATGACACTACACTTCCCTGGCTCCCCTTTTATCTCTCTGGCCTCTTCTTAGTTTCCTTTTAGTAGTCTTCAGAAGAAGAACCACCTTGAATCTGATACTCTTCAGGAATATATTCATAGCTCTTCTCTTTTTGCTTTACTCTCTTCCACTTTTCAATGGCTATGATTCCCAAATCTCAATTCCCAGTTCATACGTCTCACATCGAAAGGCCTACCAGATATTTCCACTCATGCTTAATATATCTAAAATTGAAATAATTTCTTTCCTCAAACATATTCCAGCTCCTGTGCTCTCTATTTCAGTTAAAGGTATTATCATTAATCCATAAATCTTAGATAAAGTCCTTGATTCTCCCTCTGCCCATCAACTCCATATACAGACAGGTAGTCACCAAGTCCTGTTGATTTTTACCTCCTAATTGGCTCTCCAATAAGTCTACTTCTCTTTATCCTCCTAAACTTCTTTCTGTGTCTTATACCACTCTCTGTGGTCCATGATCTGACCCTTGTTTGTATTCTTTCCAGTCTCACTCACAAACACTCTCAAACATCTCCCCTCACCAGACTTTTAAATCCTGCCATATCAAATAAGCTTCTTTTGATTCAGTTATTATTTGTTTCTGGGCCTTTATAGATGCTGGTCCATTTACCTGCTTTATTCTTTCTGCTTCCTTAGGATCTCCTAAAGCCTTGTATGAATATCCCTTCTATTATGAGCTTATAACATCAAATCTTCATCATATTACGTTATAAGTGCTTGTTTACTAATCTGTCTCCCCCAATAGATAAGCTCCATTCAAGAGAAGGAACTATATCTAGCTCACTCATCATTACATCCTCAGTACCTGGCACATATGCTCAGTAAGTATTTGTTTTGGGGATGGGGGGAGTCAATGAATAATACAGAAAAAAAGGAAGTCAACGTTCCTAGTAAAATAGCATCTTGTCATTAAATGCATCGAAAGTACATTAGAATAAATACTGGGCAAGGGACAACACATTTTCCAAAAAGAAATGGCAGGCTTTCCAGAAGTATTTAGGAATTTATGAACAATCAATTGGAAAAAATTAGTGCCTCTGGGTAGAAAAACTGGGTCTGAACGACTAGTGGGTCAGAAACATAATTTTCACTATTTTTAAATTTTTATTGAACTGAACTTGGTCAGCAAGAAAAATCAACTTGCCTTGGGCTAGTATGTGAAATTCTCCAAAGCCACAACTACCTTCATACCTCAATTGTCAGTACTTGAGTTTGTTGATCTATGATAACTGTTTTCTTGTCCCTTCCATGTACAGATTATCAGTACCATGTGAAACTAGCACCTGTGTGTCAGTTTGTTATACAGTGGTGACTTGTGTGTGACTGTGATGCTGGAAGTTATACCACTGGTATTTTAAATGCCAGCAGAGTCACATATGATGGACTGGTTTTAGCTTCCAGACTGAAATAGACTAGGAAGAAACACCTGATGATATACTAACACAAACTAGTCAATGAAAACCTAAACCTATGGATCACAACAGAACATTGTCTGACTCACTTCTTAGGACCCATCATCAGGAAAGCTCAATCGCTGCAGGAGGACATAGTATTTGGTAAAGTAGAGGGCAGTGAGGGAAAGGGAGGCCCTTCAGTGAAGATTGGCACAATGGACTAAAACATGCGATCATGAAGATGATGCAAGACTAAGCTGTATTTTGTTCTTTTGTACATAAGGTCATTATGAGTTGGAGTCAACTTGATGATAGCTAGCTAGCTATTCATCTATCTATCTATGATGATAGCTAGCTAGCTTTTCATCTGTCTATCTATGATGATAGCTAGCTAGCTATTCATCTATCTATCTATCATCTATCGACCATGTGAAAAGCCTCAAGGATTTTAAATTATTTTCCTTGTCTTGCAAATATACATGCTTCACTTTTCCTTCAAAGTATACTGGACATCACTCAAACATGTAACGGGAGTGGGGAGAAAAAAGCAAAATATTATTCCACCTCATTTCTTCCCTTCTCCCTTTGATTAGTTCCGTGGGTTCTGCCAAATAAGTATCCTTTGCTTCTGTGAGACTCCTCTCAAGGCTCCTGTGACTCTTCTCACCCTAGAGAACCCTTTAACACACCCTACCAGAACTGCTACAGGTAAGGGACATTACTCTGGACTTCAACTGAGTATACACCAATAAAATAATGACCATGTGTCCTCATTTATGTGAGTGTTCATGGCGTTCCCTAAAATGACAATCCTCAGTTTCTCCCTGCTCTTTCACTTGCATTTTATTTTTACCAAGCAAGGGGAGGAGGGTGCTCTGACTCTACTTACCAAACTGTAGGAAAAGACTAGAGCCTCCTCCCTGTCTGAAACAATGGTGCCACTGAGACTATATGAGATGCAGCAGAAGTTCTCTGCACAGTACTGTTCCTTGTCCCCAAACTCCCTGCTGGGGCCTTGGCAAGGTACAGCCTTCAAATACACAGACACACACCAGACTTGTAGTTTTCCCAATGACCATGACTCCAAGTTTATGGAAGAGAATAGGGGAAGACTCACTAGCAAAGACCTGAATTAGATGTGTTTGAAAGATAGTGGTCATGTAGTAATGTCCTCTCATTCAAACTGTCAAGTCGATTCCAACTCACAACGATCCTATAGGATAAAGTAGAACTGTCCCATAGGATTTCCAAGGCTATAATCTTTATGGAAGCAGATTGTTCCACCTTTCTCCCATGGAGTGGCTGGTGGGTTCGAACCACCAACCTTTCAGTTAGCAGCTGAGCACTTAACCACTGTGCCATCAGGGCTCCTTAGCCCAATCATAGACACTGTTTTATTCTGGCAGCCCCACATTACCATGCCTCTGTGTTACCACTAACCCTACTACTCACATCTTTCAACACTTCCTTCCCCAACATACCACCCCATGCCTAGACCTAAGAACATGAGGCTGCTACCTGAGAAGCAGGGACTGTCGTGGCTTCACAGAGACTGTGTTCCATTTCTGCTGTTGGGGTCCTTGAGAGACCAAGGCCAGGGGCTGAGTGCAGCCTCCTCCCCATGCTGTCTGCAGAGCCTGCGAAGGAAATACAAATACAAATACAAGTTAAAGCTACCATTTCTCCTGGGGTCTAAACTCTAAGCATGGCACAAACTCATGAGTTCTTGTTTCATTAAATAGCAGACAGGTATCTCTGAGTCCATTGGAGGATGTGCTCCTAGAATGTAGAAACAAGAAGAAGTTTCGGAATATAGATAGTTTCCTGTAGGCCAAAAGGGTCTCAGGTCACAGTCCTTGAAGAACCTTGGGGAACAGGAGCTTTGTGGACAGAAAGCTGACTGGCCCCATCTTGTCCCTCATTTCATTTTTGTAAATATAATCAGCTTCTGTCAGACTTGTGTTCTAGTTACCTAGTGACACTCTGACAGAAATATACCACAAATGGGATGGCCTCAACAAACAGGAGTTTACTCTCTTACAATTTGGAGGCTTTAAGTCCAAGTTCAAAGTGCCAAGCTCTAGGGGCTGCGTGAAAGCCCCTCAACCTTGGGGTCCAGCTCTGCCTCCTGCTCCTGGCCCAATGGACCTAGAGGCGTTTCTTTACTCAGACAGCTGCTAATTGCTGAGGCTGACAAACCCAAGGTTGACAAATAAAAAGGCATAGTCCTGATGTTACCAAACCACATGGCAGGCCATTCATTTAAGTTCATTGAAAGTCCCAAGGTTGACAGAGCATGGCAGGCTGCTGAACAGCAACACAGCTACATACAGGGTCCAAGTGTGCCATAGGCTAGAGACCATTCCTAAGGCTTCTCCTTATATACAGGAAGCAGACCACATCGCTAAAGCAGCTACTCAGCTGCTTGTAGTAGATCCCACCATGGAGTAAACTGCCAGTCTCATCATGGGGAATAACTACCACCAGCTGCCCAGCCACTCAACCAGGCCCAGCCAAGTTGACACACAAACATAACTACCACAATTTGACAGAGGAAACTAGCCCATATAGTGATTCCCTAGAGGATCTGTGATGACTGAAGCAACTATTATCTCCAGTCTAGTCTAGAATAGAAATGATCGTATAGTCAAACCTCCTCATTTTAGTTCTAGAGTCTAACAGGTAGTTAGTAGTTTAGGATTAAAATTCCAGTCTCTTGTTTTTAACACAGTACTATTATCTCCTCAACTAGTAAGCTGGGGCTCTTCAGCAACATTTTGCATGTGGAACAGCAACTCACAACAACAACATTTTTTTATTTTTTCCATTAGCTTCTCTTGATCACTTAAATTCTAAATAGCCACTAAATATTTATTTCCTCCTCAAAATCTTGTTAGATTGTTCAGAGAAGATCTGCTCCAAACTGGATATATGACTCCCAAGTAGGCCTTTGAACTGGTTCAATCATGGCTGATGCAGCAAAATTAAAACAGACCCGAATTTTTAAAATGTGGTATACCAGAATGACAACTGGAAAAATTATAGGTAGAAGCCCTGGAATGGGAGACTAGGAAGAGATGTAGTGAACCCTTTCAGGAGCCTGATGCAGAAGACTGCATCCTGATGCCAGGACTGTGGAGAGTGACACACATTCAAAGCTATGTGGTTGCTGCCATCTTTGAGCCAGGCATCAGTTTCAGACTTTGCAACATATACGCTGTCCTTGTTTTCCAAGAGGGAGATTAAGTTTCTAGTGGGGTGCTAACCTGTGATTTTTCCTGTTCCAGTTATCATTCTGGTACATGCTAATTTTACAAACTCAGTTCCATTCCAGTGTTGTTTTGTTGGCCATGACTGAACCACGAACTATTTTGAAGCCCTGGTTCTAATACCACTTACTAAGCTAAGGAAACTACTCAGACAGAATATCACCAAGAACCCTCTTTTGATTTTGTCCTCCTGCTTTTACCTTTTATATGCCCCCTCAACTTTGGTTTGGCTTACCTGTTTGGCTAAATGGGTGCCAAGACACATCCTGCTGCCCCCATTTAGAATAGCCAGTTTGAGAAGTCTGGAGACTGGCCTGGTAGAGAGACTCCAATTCTGAGGTTTCCTGCTCTGTGTCTTGGTTCCAATGTGGATGCAAAAAGATGTGGTTTCTCTCTGGATAGGCTATGCAGGTATGGGAATCATGGGGAGAGGATTTTACTTCTGGCCCAGGGACTCCATATTTAAGTTGTGAATCACAGAGTCTTGTAACCTTCACCCAGGAATCCAAAGGCAAGGAAAGCTCCAAGTCAGCATTGCTGTCCAGCTCCTTAGGCCTAGCATCTCTCACTTGGGATGGCAGCTCTTTATATGTACTAGGCTCTACCAACCTAGACTGTCCTACCCTAGAAGTTTCACCATTAGGCAACCCAGAGTTCATGGCAAGAGGTTGATAGTCAATAGGTTCTTCCCAGGAAGGTAGTCTGTCCCTACCATCCAGAGAGGGTGGCTTTTTTGCCCAAGGCCAGTGGCCTTTCCCTTGATCCTGTGGGAAAGGAGGCTTAGATTCAGAAGGGGAAGAGTTCTTCCTTAGACTATCTGGCACACTTCTATCCTGGGAACCCGTGCCATCCTTTGTGGAAGTACCTTGCATCCTCTGGAACTGCTCTGCCAGAGAGCGGACAAGCCCCTTTGTGCAGGGAAACTCTGGCCTATAGGGCTCCTTGCTGCCTCCATCCACTTTTGAAGTCAATGAAGTTTTGGGACTTTTGGCTGGAAGGCATTGGTTAGTTTTCTGCACAGAATCAGGAGAACGAAGCACAGATGAGGAAGCTGCAGGCATTATGGGATGGCAGTCCCTGTATGGAGCAAGACTTGGCTGAACTGATGAATTTAAAGCACTACAACTGGAGCTATGTTCCCCTCCTCTCTCGGAGGTGGCTGTTCCAGCTAGGTGTGACCAAGGCAGCACTAGGGATGGGTTAGTAGGATCCCTCTTTTCGTGGAAAAGTTGTTCTTGAGCAGTGCCTCTTCCTTCTTGTGGAGGGAACATGCAACTGCTATCGTCACCCCTGTAAACTTGCAGCTTACATTCTAGGGTGTCCATTGGCTCCCAACCATGATTAGAAGTCTTCTCAGACTTCCCTGGTGTTTGAAGTAAGCCCTGCCTGTGGATTGAAGTGGGGTCAATGCTGTCCACCTCAACCAAAGTCAGAAGGTTTGGGGCAGATCTATTGGAGGAGCTATGCTGTTGGGCAGAAGGGGCAGGTGACTCTGAGAATAGTGATGAGTGTGACTCATGGCAGGAAGCAGGTGAGTGGAAGAAAGAACTGGCCTCAAACTCTGTGTCCGTGCAGGGTTCCAGCTGGGCCTCCCGGCTCAACAATATTTGGAGCGGGATAGGTTGTTCACTGAAATAAATAGAGAGAGCCAGTTATGAATTGCCTTGATTGATAAGAATACTTCCCAAAAAACTTATTAATCCCATTCTTATTTCTAGCTATCTACAGAGAGAATGGCAAAAATAAATGGTAAGATAAGCATAAGTAGCGTCAACAGTTCAAAAATTTACAAAAGAGAAGGTACACGGTCACCTTATACCTAGGTTACAGGTAACGTTAATCCTCTCTTTGTTAAATGCCTTCACAAAAGCTGCACACAGTAATAAGAAGTGGACCCTTTGTCAATATTACTCACTACCTGTGAAGTTCCATTTTAATCTCATTCTTTTGTACTTATAAATTTAAAAAAAAAAATTGCCAGTCCCACATGCAGATGACATGGGAGATAAGCAAGCCTGGAAGTCACTCACACCAAACAGCAAAATCCAGGATGCTATCAAGGCAGGAAAGTCCTATTTGGCATCCTGAGAGGTAGCCTAGCCAAAGGAACCAATAGTCCACGTTTATAGAGCACAGGGTGATCTGTGCTCATGAGATTACATGCAAATAACCGATTCAAGTGTATTTTCATAATCTGGATTTGGTTGTATTACTCACTGAAATGTTTCCCCAAAGTGACATACTATGACTCTTGAGATTTAGGAATAAGAGTAGAGATTAATTGCATTTAGTTAGTTTTGCAGTAATTGTTTTGCATTTCTGACCAGAAAAATTCAATGCCACGAGCACTTAAATAAAATGTCAACTGCTTACATGTATCAAGTGGTATAAGAAGTCTTCTAGGAAGAGTTTAGCTGCCTAAATTGTTTATACACAAAGGTCTCTGATCAGCATTCAATTAGTGGAGAACACAATAAACCAAACCAAACTCACTGCCATTGAGTCAGATCGGACTCATAACGACCCTTACTTGGGTTTCAAAGGTAGTATCACTATGGAAGTAGAATGCAGAACCTTCCTTCCAAGAAGTGGCTGGTGGGTTTGAACCGCCAGTCTTCTGGTTAGCAGTGAAGTGCCTTAGGCACTATGCCACCAGAGCTCCTACACAATAGAAGAATATAAAAAAAAAAAAAAAAGGAAAATCCTAGAGATGAGCATAATATTTGAATGATGATATTCTATAAACTTTCTTAGATACTCAGTTATCCTTACAACATTATGAAAAACATGATATTATACTTATGGGAAATCTAATAATAAAAGACAGTATTACATAATGGTTAAGGACATGAGCTTTGGAGTCAAGAGACCTGGATTTGAATTCCTCAATTCTACCACTTACTAGCTAAATAATGGTAGGTATGTCACTTATCTTATTCTCTCTAAGCCACAGTTTCCTTAACTATGAAATGTACGAAACAATCATCTCTATTCCAGAAGATTACTGTGGAGATTAAAAATGAAAAATAAAACATATATCTATCACCTTAGTGCCTGGGCCTAAACAAGTGTTCAAAAAATACTAGCTACTTATATTTATATTTTGAAAATTACTCAGACTTATTAAAAAACAAAATCAATTTTCACTTCAATCCATCTATGAGTAAAAGCCAAATTCAAGGGCTAACATGTAGGAATTATAGCAATGTCTACCAGGACTTTTTTCTTTGTCCTGCCCATAAGGAAACAAAACAAATAGAATCTTTGTGTCTCTTTCCTGCGGTTCAATCAGAGCATGGAAAAGACTGCATTCTTTGCTTCCATGAGACAGAGGAAGCACTGAAATCCCAAAATAAATCACACAGTGGCTACCTCAACATGAAATGTAGCTCAGACAGGCATGTCTAAGAACATATCATATACAAATATAGTAAGTGTGCTAGAACACAAATCCAAGGGTAAACTCACCTGCAGGAAATTTGGACAAGTGGCCTAACAATTATGCTACACTTTCTGCATCTTTCTAGGACCTACTAAGGAAAGGACCAGCAGTGGAGCTTTTTCACTGTAAATCTAACCTGAGCAAAGAAAATCTTTTCAGAGGACTCTTCTCTCTCCCCTGTAGTCACCAAGACAATGAGCAGTCTTGTTATGGCACACCCACGGTTACTTCCTCCCCTGGCGTCCATAAACTAAAGTGGTTCCTAGGCACTACCTTGTTGGCTGAGGAAGGGCCCCCCCTTGTGATGGGAGGCAGGCTGAGGACTGCGACGGCTGCTGTGATGATTGCTGCTGCTGCATGCGATCCTGCAGGCTCCGTGCTTTTCGAATACTGATTTGCAACTTCTTATCGACTAGGGCTCTGCTGTGCGTGCTAGAGCTGGCACCATGCAGGGCAAGTCTTAGTTTAGCTAAAATGCAAAAGAAAATATAGCAGAAACAACCCAAAACACAAACAAAAATAAAAAGAATAAAATTGAACCAAAAATGAGCAAAGATATGCATTAAAACTCAAAATATGCAGCAGGAATGCAAGGCATGGACCATGCATATGCTGTCTAGGGCACAGAGCTGACTCTGGCTATAAGAAACATTCATGGAAGCCATAGAGCCAAACCAGTTAATTCAAATTAAAGAAAAAAAAAAAAGAAAAAAGGAAAAAGAAACAAAACTAAAATGAATTAAGAAGATAAACTGGTGCTTTCATCTTAGAGGTTGCCACTCTCCTTGTCCTTTGCAACTGACATGTCCAACTCTATTCTCCACACTCTGCTCCCAAATACCCTCTCCTGGTGGCTAATAGCAGAAATAAGATCCAAGCTTATATCTGTCTTAATAGGATACAGTTTCTTGTGAATCAGATATCAGCTCTAAGTCTTAGGCTCATGCCTGTGCTATTGCATACCAAGAAGGCAGGGAAGAAACGTAAAGGAGAATCAAATATATCAGCGGAAAGCCACAGCCAATTTATTCAGTTATTCCTGCCATAAGCTCCACCTCAGTAGTCAGTGACTAGAGAAAGTACAGACTAACTTCACATTTGAGGTCTAATACGTTAGGAAGGCATGGCTGGAAAAGCCATTTGTGTACTCTTGCCGAGGTTATTCTAGTAAATACCCATAGACCACAGTGACACCCTCTGGCACAGTCAGAAATTTGGAGGGCAAAGATAAAGGGCCTCACTTTGGGAGAACAAGAGTGGGGAGACATAAAAGCTGTTTTTATCCCATTTGCGTGACGACCCTAATAACACCTGTTGTGAAATTAGTCAAAAGTGCCATAGCCATAGCAGTTAGAGTTACTTACAGATAGCTTCGTTACAGAGAGCCAAAGCTGCAGCACAGTCTCCCTTCTGTTCCAGACGCACCGACTCTTCAAACACTGAATCTGCCTCTTGCAGGGACCTCTCAAAGCCGTCACTCCTCCCTGAAAGGGCCAGCACTTTTCATTTTCATTACAGTTCTTTCCAACTTTTCTTATGTACTATTTCCCCTTGGTATGCACAGATCCTTGCTGCAGAGCCTTTGCTCTGCCCTTATTCCAACTGTCCATTGCTATTAAGAATTCTCTAAAATAGATAGGAGAACCATTTCTGTCTTTAAACCAGACCTTATCAAGGCCATGAAAGAAGGGCATGCCAATGTCCACAACATATTCCAACTTTAAGACATCTTAGGGAGTGGTTCAAGGAAAGAAGAAAGTATTGTCTACAGCAGAGGGATAGTGGAGGGTGGGTTCTTATGCCTGGAACTGAACTGTTCTTCTACAGCACAAGAAGATATGTCTTGCCAACTGGTGTCAGAATGCCCCCAAACTCCATTGAGATTGGCACCAGTGAAAAACTGGCTTTACTACTCTATAAAACCATCTATACCACTTCTGTCTTACATCAATCCACAATCCTCTTGTACCACTCTGAACTAGAAAATAAGTATGCCTCTTGGACATAACTAGTCAATGATTCCTAACCTCAGTATATCTATCAACACAATTGAATTGTCCTTGTTAGTATGAATGCATGTAACTTTCATCAGTACTACTAAATATTTACTTTCACCATCCTTTGGTCACCAACTTATCCCAAAAAGTCACCTTTCCATACCATGAGCACAGGATATTTCTTGATTCCCTAAAGTGAACATAAGGAGTTCTGGTAGCATGGTGCCTAAGGCATTTGACTGCTAACCAGAAGGCTGGCGGTTCAAATCTACCAGCCACTCCTCAGAAGGAAGGTTGGGCAATCTACTTCCGTAGTGTTACTGCCTCGGAAACCCAAGGAGGGGTCACTATGAGTCAGGGCCGACTTGACAGCACATAACAACAACAACAAAGTGAACATGTGCCAAAGTAGGTGCAGAAGAGTCCAAGTACAATGCCAGTTAAAAACACTAGAAAATAGCTGACAAGGGACAAGGTTGTAATCACTTCTTGGCCAAAGCATTCCACCCTGAGGGAGCAAGTAGTTGGATCTGTGGGCTCAGGACCATGGCTGCAGGGGACATCAAGCTCAATTGGCACAACACACTACACAAAAACATTGTTCCGCGTCCTACTTTGGCGGGTAGCAACTCGGACTTCAAAAGCTTGCAAGCGGCCATCTAGATGCAACAATGGGTCTAGAGCAAGGAAGTATGAAGAAAACCAAACACGCATGGAAGCAATTAGTCCAAGGGACTAATGTGATCACTATGTGATCCTCAGCCTATATGACTATGAAACCAGAAGAACTAGATGGTGCCTAGCTACCACTGTCAACCACTAGGAGGGGGATGGATCTATGTAGGAGATCCTGGATAGAGTAGGAGAACAATGTGGAACAAAACTCAAAATCATAAAAAAAAAAAAAAAAAAAAGGTTTGCTTGTCTGACTCATCTGATAGAGACTGGTGGAACCTGAGATTATGGCCCCTAGCTGCCCTTCAGGTCTGGAATTGAACCCACTCCTGTGGCTTCCAGCCAAACAAAAAACAGGCATATGAGCTGAACATTTATATTACACAGATACACTCCCTGGAGAGATCAATCATGGGACAATAGAAGGGCTGTGTATGCACAGGGAGACAGCTCAGGGGGCAGGAGTGCATGAGAGGGAAGGACACAGGGAAGAGGTGGCTATGAGGAGGAAGGAGGAGAGCTGTTGCATTGTGGGAGGTTAAAGTCAATGTCATGAGACAAAGTATATCTGAACTGCTGTATTGAAGATGAATTTGCTCTGTAAACTCTCACTCAAACCACAATAAAATTAAAAAAAAAAAAAAAAAAAAAACCTCTAGAAAATACTGTAAGGACAACTTTTATAAAAGAAATCCCAGGTGTTCACCCACCCTCCCTCCTTGTTCTCTACTCACTCATAAGCATAAATGGGTAACAATTTATAAGTTCACCTATAATTTGGATTGATGGTGGGTTTTCACAAGATCACAGGAAAAAAAAAAAATCAAAATGTCTGAGTCATCTCTCCCAAAATTTCCCCCATTCTCCAGTTAGTTACAGCTGGAAATGCTAAGAAGACTCAACATACCAAACACTCACTCCCTAATTCAACATGGCTTACAAGTCAGATTCAACTTGACAGCAATGGGTAACAGGTTTTTGGAACACAACAGGAAGACAAGAGAAATAGCAGGTTGATTCTGAAGAACTTGGCCTTCAGATTCCACTCCACCTCCAGAGCTGTGCCTCCTCCATCCCCTAGACCTGAAGTTTTCTCATGATACTTGAAATCGATTGCATCTACACAATCCTTAAAATCAGAGGTGATGGCTAGAGCCATTTATTTATTTTTTTTTTAATTAAAGCCATTCTCTACAGTGATTTAGGCAAACTATTGCTGATTCATCACTACACTAGATTTCATTCTTTATGCTACAGAATCTTAGTACTCTAGTCCTTGCTCTTCCAGAAAAGTCTAAAAAAAGCATAAGAGAAAAGCTGCCCCTAAACAGGTCTACTTAGCCTAGGAAGCTTCTCTAAGTGCTAATGAAAAGATGGAAGTAGTTAACAGAAAGCAACCACTCAAAACAGCACTGACTTCTACTCTAAACTAGCTTAGCACAGTTTGTTACATCTGGAAATTCTGAGTAATAAGAATGATAAACTCATTTTACAGAAAGAAAAACTGAGATACACATTTCAAGACATACATAAGGTAGATACCTAAGGCTTGTTGAACTCTTATGTTGTGCCTTCCGGTGCAAAGTAACATCCTAAAGAAATTCATGGAAGAAAAAACTGACTAATGTGGGGCAGTTGAGAAAGCTTAAGTAAAGTCCATGAAAATCGTAGGAAATGGAGGACAAATCATTACAGGATCAAAAGGCAGTGTTCTCTGCTCCTGACTGGCTGAGTCACTATCCTGAAGCCCGAGATGGCAATTCTCAAGGGTTTTATCTGCCACGAAGTAGAATGCCCCTCATTGTCAGTGTAGTTTCCTGCCCTTTTCTGTTGCTTCTGAGCTATGACTAGTTTTATTTATAGTATCTACAGATATTCATAGGAAATATTTTTCATGAATAATATACTCTATTTCTCATCTGTAGGCTTCTAATAGTTGTCCCCCAAATCAATGCCTATTCTAACCAATAGGACTGTTACTTCCTACAATAGGATTATTATCTTCCTAGCTTTCACTGCAATGTCTGAATTAAGATAAAATATAACTTTGCTAAAGAGAAGGGAACTTACTATTTGGATCTTTTTTCTTTTCTTTCTGTCCCCATCACCCACAACTTAATGCTCACAACAATTACCCTGATTCTGCAATTCATCCAAGTCCATAAACCGACTCGGATGAGGGTTAAAGCCTTTAGCTGCCTCTAATTCCTTCTCCCGTTTCCTTCGAAGTTCCTGTTCCCGCGCCCTCCTGGCCACTTCTTCTTGTAACTCATCCAGTTCACTTTTGGAAGATCTCTCTCCACCTGGAATACACACAAGGGCAAAGATAAGTTACCACCTCTCCATAACCAGAACCAAACATCTGCTGAGGCCATTGCACTACTTTTCCTTTGGAATGCTTGGCTTCAATTTGGAGTTAATGGTTTGGGTTGTACTTTCCAAATGAGAAGGGAACTCTGGTGGCGTAGTGCCTAAACCATTTGACTGCTAACCAGAAGGCTGGTAGTTCAAACCCACCAGCCACTCCTCAGAAGGAAGACTGGGCAATCTATTTCTGTAGAGCTACTGCCTCAGAAACCCAAGGAGAGGTTGCTATGAGTCAAATCAATTTGATGGCTGTGAGTTTGGTTTTTTGTTTTTTATTCCACATGAGAATCAGGATGGGACCTAGGCAATGAACAATAATAATATTTATCAAGTAGTTCATAACAATAATAACAACATGCCAACTAACATTGGCCAAATACTTACTATGTGTGAGGGAAGCTTTAAGCATTGTGGTAGTTAAGTTTGTGTGTCAACTTGGCTGGGCTTGGTTGAGTGGCTGGGTAGCTGGATGTAGTATTTCCCATGATAATACTGGTAATCAACTCCATGGTGGAATCTGTGAGCAGCTGAGTAGCTACCTTAGGGATATGATCTGCCTCCTGTATATAAGGAGAAGCCTTGGGGAAAGGTCTCTAGCTTATGGCATGCTTGAACCCTGCACACAGCCGTGTCATTGTTAAGTAGCTGCCACACCTGTGGTTTCCAGCCAAACAAAATACAGGCATATGAGTTGAACATTTACCTCAAGTAGATACACTCCTTGGAAAGAATAATCATGGGATAAAGGGCTGCTTATGCACAGGGAAACAGCTCAGGGGGCAGCAGTGTATGGAGGAATGGACACTGGGAAGAGGTAACTATGGGGAGGAAGTGTGAGGGGAACTGTTGCATTGTCATAAACTGACATGAGACAAAGTGTATGTAGACTGCTGTATGGAAAGTGAATTTGCTCTATAAATCTTCACCCAAATCACAATTAAAAAAAAATTAGGAAACATTCTGTACCAGGTGGGGTCACTGACTCATTGGGGAACTTCATGCAATTCATTTTCTCATTCTTTGACTTAATTACCACCCTTTAATGAGTTCATAAAATGTCCACAGTAGTAAAATTCAGCTTTACACACAATCATATATGGATCCAGATAGATCTATAACTATCTTCACAATATATTAAGTGAAAAAATTAAGTGAGAGTAATATGTGTAATATGATTTTGTTTAAAAAAAATGGTGGTGACTCATGCATAAAATTTTATAACAATATATACACTTGTAGAAGCATAGGAAAATATGTAGAAAGATATATACCATAATGGTACATTGGCTACTTCAATTTGAAGAGGCAAAGGACAGGTTATTGACACTTGGGACAGGCCTATTTTTCTTTTCTGTTTTTTAAAGAGTGATCAAAATCACAGGTAAAAATACTTTGTTCTATACCAGAATAAAATGACTGGATCAAATTGTGGGTTATAGGAAAAGTCTACTATACAAAGAAGATGGTGGGGTGGTACAGTGTGTGAGGAATTTTGTCAAAACTCCTTGCTAAATATTTTTCACCAGTTGAGGAGTTCTACTGGTGGATTCTACCTATCTAGTCCAGAACTGAGTGCTGTTACAGAAATCAAGAGACTCAGTAGTAGTGAGCTGAAAAGCTATCTTCTATCTGAAAAAGAGAAAGGGAAATAGGCTCATACATGATCACAAATTTCTCAATGCAGTGTTACTGAGTATGAAATAAATTAAAATGGAAGAAACAAACAAAAGCATAATTTCATTAAAGAATGGATCTTTTAACAACAACCAGCTCCAGCCCAGGATTCCAGAGTAGCTACTTCTACAGGCATTGTTCTACTCTGCCAAATGTCAACAACCTATGGCACTCACATCTAAATGCATTCAAGCCTTTCTATCACTGCTGCTGAATACCTTCCTTCTAACCATCTTGGGGGAGCTCTGGTAGCATAGTGTCTAAGGCACTTGACTGCTAACCAGAAGGCTGGCAGTTCAAATCTACCAGCCACTCCTCGGAAGGAAGATGGGGCAATCTACTTCCGTAGTGATATTGCCTCGGAAACCCAAGGAAGGGTCACTATGAGTCGGGTCCAAATCGACGGCAAATGACAACAACAGCAGCAGCCATCTTGGTGAACTTCCAGTAGCTAGCAAGAGAACTGGTGATCAGATCAACAATGTTCCTAATTTCATCTCTTCAGACTAGTACACAGTATTCTGCCATCTTCTCCCTAATAAGCTGACATCACAGATCTACATCCAGAAACTCATGAAATCAGATCATAGGTAGGTTTCTGCCCACATATCCTACTCTCAATTGACCTAACCGACCAGAGGAAAAGAAAATGAAACCATGACAAATCTTGCAGAGAAGGCTGATCTCTAAGTTAGACAAGGAGCTCTCAGCAGACCAAACCATATTGGATACACCCCCACTCAGGCATTTCACAAAGAGAAACTCCATATTGAGGACTGTCTGGTTACTACTGAATTTTCAGCTCTGAATATATTCTAAGTCAAGAATTTATTTTGAACCATTAAGACTGGGTATCTAGTCAAGTGAAATATGTACTGTATGTATATGTGTTGTGAGAGGTATATAAAAAAGAGCTAAACCCTATGACCATCTCCAATTTCTACTTCTGGTATCTTATGCCTGAAATTCCATTATTCTTTTTTTTTCCCCTCAGTTTATTTTTCTTTTCTAAATTATAGATATATTTTTTCTATAGGGACTATACACAGCAAAATATACAGAAATTCAACAGTTTCTGCATGCACAATTTAGTGACATTGATTACATTCTTCAAGTTATGCAACCATTCTCATTTTCTTTTCTGTTGTTCTTCCCTCATTAACATAAACTCACTGCCCCCAAAGGTTCCTACTAATCTTTCTATTTGTGTTACCAATTTGATCCCATATATATTTAAGTTTCAGGAGTTCATCTAGCCTCCATGGCTCCAAAAAGTCAAGATTCCATGAGAGTTTGAATTTCTGTTCTGTATTTTCTTCCTCTTGATCAGGATTCTTCTCGAGAATCTTTGATCAAAATGTTCAGTAATGGTGATTGGGCACCATCCAGTTCTTCTGGTCTCATAACAATGGAGGCAAGTGTTCATGGAGGAACTTAGCCACATATTCCATATCCTCCTCCTATTCCCAACTTTCTTTCTTCATCTGTTGCTCAAGGTGAATAGAAACTAATTGTTGTGCCTTGGATGGCTGTTTGCAAGCTTTTAAGATCCCAGGTACTACATAGTGAACTAGGACGTAGAACAGAAGTACTAAACATGTTATTAGGCCAATTAACTGAGATGTCCCATGAAAACTTGACCCTAAACCTCCAAACCAAGGGACAAAATCCCATGAAGTGTCTGATAACACCTAAGCAGGCTCTGCAGCTATTCTTTTGTCGTTGTTGTTGTAAATACATCTATCACACAACCTTTGCCAATTTAACTTTTTTTAAAAAAAATTTTATTGTGAATTGGGTGAAAGTTTACAGAGAGCAAATTCATCTTCCATACAGCAGTTCCCATACACTTTGTCTCAAGACATTGACTGCAATCTCCCACAATGTAACAGCTCTCCTACCACTTCCTTCCCATAGCCACCTCTTGCCTGTGTCCTCCCCTACCATGCACTCCTGACCCCTAAGCTGTCTCTCTGTGCATACACAGGCTTCTATTCTCCCATGATTGTTCTCTCCAAGGAGTGGATCTACCTAATGTAAATATTCAGCTCATATGCCTGTCTTTTGTTTGGCTGCAAGCCACAGGAATGGGTTCAATTTCAGACCTGAAGGGCAGCAAGGGGCCATAGCCTCAGGGGTTCCACCAGGCTCTCTTAACATCAACAAACCTGGTCTCTTTATTTATTTTTTTTTTTAAATGATTTTGAGCTTTGTTCTACATTGGCCAATTTAACTTTTTACAGATATAAAAAGCAATTATAATAATCAACTGTGTAACCCTACCCTTAATGTTATTTTTCCATCACCATTAACCTCCTTTTTCCTTCTTCCCCCTGCACCTTGAAACCACTAAAAACTTTGATTTCTATACATTTGCCTTTTCATATATGTAAGGTCATACAATATTTGTCCTTTTCTGAGTGGCTTACTTTGCTTAGCAGAATGTTTTCAAGCTCAATTTATACCATCAAGACTTCATTTCTCCTACTGGCTGAGTAGTATTTGTATATATGTATCACATTTTGTTTGTCCATTCATCTGTTGATGGGCACTTAGGTTGTTTCCATCTTCTGGCTATTGCGAATAATGCTGCAATGAACATTAGTGTACAGTCTCTTTCTGAGTCTTTTGGGTACATGCCCAGGGTATTTCTGGGTCATATGGTAGTTGTACTTACAGTTTCTTGAGGAACCACCACATTGTTTTCCACAATAGCCATTTTGTATTCCCACTAGTAATGGGTAAGGGTTGCAATTTCCCATATCCTCATGAATATTTGTTATTTTCTTTTTTTTAAACTTTAGCCATCCCAATTCGCTGCCATTCAGTTGATTCCAACTCACAGCAATACTGTAGGAGAGATTAGAACTGCCACACAGGATTTCCAAGGCTGTAAATCTTTACAGCAACAGATTGCCACATCTTTCTTACAATGAGTAGCTGGTGAGTTTGAACCACTGCCTTTGTGGTTAGCAGCCAAGCACTTAACTTGGCTCATTAGCCATCCTAGTGCGAGTGAAATGGTATCTCATTGTGGTCTTGATTTGTATCTCTCTGAGAGCTAGTGATGCTGACCATCTTTTCATATGTTTGGTGGCTATTTGAATGTCCTCTTTGGTGAA